GTTCCCAAAAAGCGAGAAATTCGACTACAGAGCATGAGAGAAAGAGTAGGGAGAGCTGTAGAGAAGAGGTGGCACTTAAGCTGATTCTTGAATACTATTAATTCTCAACAAGCAGAGTAGTAGAGATGGGAGGGGGAGAAGGAAGACACTCCAAGTTAAAAGAACGGCATAAGCAAAAGTACAAAGAATGAATAACAAAGGTTATGTAAGGTGAGCTATCAGGTCCAGCCAGGTCACCATGTGAGCAGGAAAGTAGTGAGAAATAAGGCTGGCTAGGTAAGGGGAGGCTAAATCTCAAAGAGCCTCAGATTTTTGTCCAAAGAATCTGGTCTTGACTTTATAGCTAGTGGGGAGAAAATGAAGTTGCTTTAGACTGGTGCCATCTGAGCTCAGGACCTCAGACAAATAATAGATTTGTAGTATCAACAAAATCAAGTTCCCAACTTAGCTGTACTACCTTGGAGAAATCATTTAAATACTTGGATTCTTGGTTTCCAGCATGTGTAATAATGAAAGACCACCCATCTCACAAGATAATTATGAACACTAAGCAAGATAAGGAAAAGGGAAAAGCATTTAACAAAGTATAAAACAAGCACAATATAAATGTTACAAATTTAAAATGAAGTACAATGATTTATTTGTTTCCTAGATGTGTGACACACACCCAAGTATGCCAGGACAAAGCAACCTATTCAGGCATAGTAACTATAAAAGAAAAGACTGTAAAAGAAAAGACTCTGAAACACAGCCATAATAATAATTTTTCAAGGAGTAATTTCAGCAGGCAGACTGATAGGAGACAACACTCTTATTTGGGTCCCTGGATATTTAAAGATGATACAATATTTGGGTTAGTAGTAACAAAAGTCCTCTAGTTCAATCTCCCAAATCTGATGTTTGAAATCCAACCCAGTGGTTGGCCAGGGTAGGCACATATCTGGAGTGGTGGAAAACCTCCTGCCGTTACAACACAACCTTTATTTAACGTGTCAGGCAACTCTGTTAGAAATTCTAATTGTCAGAAATTCAGATTCAACGATCTACACCACTTAACATCCACTCACGAGGTATCCCACACTCTTAGGTAAAGAACTAAATGGGCTTCAGGAAGATTTGTCCTAATATGTAGGATATACTGAATTGGAGAATAGACCAAAGACAAGAAGAAGAGGCTTTTATAGCAGGCCCACCCAAGAATCCCAAGGACCTACGAAAAAAAAAGAATCCAGAGGACTTGACAGGGAGTGGAACAGTAGCAATGCAAAGGAGAAAACCTATTCCAGAGACAGAACTCAAGGCATTTAATAAAAGACAGGATACACGAGGCAGGAATAAATAAAGCACACAGGAATCACAGATGAATGAGGTTTGAGGCGGAGTGTCAAATTAGTGTTTGAATACATTTCACATGCCAATAAAATACCCAGATGGAGGAATAAAGCAAGCCAGGGAAAAAGCATTTTGGAACTCAGGAGGGAAGCAAGGTACAGCTACATGAAGAGGTGAGTTTTAAGGGGAAAAACATAAAGCAAGAAGGCGGCTAAAGCTGGGCTCCTCAGCACAAAGAATATGTATTTAGGCTATTTGATCAAAGATTTGGAGCCATGACTGTGGCCGGGGAAGCCAGAAAGAAACTTGCCCACGATGAATTCATGACAGTGCCTCCGATCTCATTGGGAGGCAGTTCAAAGGGAATCAGCCCAAAGAGTTTGAATTCGTGGTAGCTTTGGCCAAACGGACCCATGCAGTACACCTTTGCATCAGGCCTTATATTGGCCAGGCATGTGTTACTTTGGCCAATCCCTTGGCACTGACAGCTCAGAACCCAAACTTAATAAGAGGCTTCTTTTTTCACGTCCTAGCTCAGGATAATTAAAGCACACATTGCACATTCAACATTTATCTATCTTTCTCCACCAAACTGGCTCTGATCATGGCTTCCTGATGTAGGCTCGAGACACAAACCCCAGGGGTGAAGCAGTGTGGGCTGCTGGCTACAGCTAGAAATCAGCCTGAAAAGCCCTGTTAGCCCACACTTTAAGGTTTGGTGGTGACTTTTCTTACTTTTACATCTTGTTACTAAACAGCTAAAGCTTGGGATTCTTTATTTCTTCCACTTGGTCATAGTGCATGTTCATCAAGGAGTTTACAGTACTTTTCAAATGAAGAAGGCAATGGGTTTATTCTTCTTCTAACAGTCCTGGCTGCAATCAGTACTGTCACAGTTACAGAAAACAAAAGTACAAGGGAGAAAATGTATCTTTCTCCTTTAAGTTTCATTATACTGCAACAACCTGTCATAGAATCTACTCAAACTGCATACAGTGATGACTTCCGTAAAGGAACAGCTGTGAACACACAATTCTGTTTTACCAAAGTATATGATCATTTCAACCATATTTTAACTCATTTCACTATCCCAGCCTTTCCCCTTCTCAAATAGCAAATATTTTGCCGTGAGCTACTTCAATGAACTATACAAGCCAACATATTTGATACAATGAAGTTTACTGTTTTAAAGAAAACTGGAACAGTCACTTCATGATTCATCTCTTTTATAAGGTTGGACTCTTTAGAGTATTTCTCTTAAAGCTAAATAAAACTTCAATGGCTTTGTCCCTGTGGAGACAGGTGCCAAGTGGATAATTTGGGCTCTTCTCCAGGTAGCCACACCATCAGTTCACCATGGTAAGCAGCATATTCTTGTATGGACTCTATCACCAGTTATTGGCAAACAAGAAAGTTCTACTCGATCAAATAATCATGTATCAGGAAATGAATGGGTAAATCAAGACTCAGACTTGATTTTACCTGTAAAAGCCACAGTCCAGGGGCACTCCAACATCCCCTACACCTGACCAGTGCCCTTAGCCTCTGCATGTAGAGGTCCTAGCAGTAGGAGGCCCATAAAAACTGAAAACAGCCCAATTGCTCAACCTGAGTTAAGACCATCCAGAAATCAGTGAGGGCAGCAGAGGCCATACCAAAAAGCCCAGCTTAAATCCCCAACTCTACTGCTCTGAAGGCATGGCCTTGGCCTAACCAGCAGAAGCGGCCATGGCTCGCAGTCACAGAGGCAGCTTGGGTCGCCACTTGCCCCTCCTGACCCGCTGGGGCTAGAGCAGGAGCCTTTGGTGCTGCAGCCTTTTACCCACATTTAAATTGCTTTCTATTTAAATCATCTTCTTCCACCAAGGGTAACTGCGGGCTGTCTAGCCCAAGGCAGCCCCCAAATTGGAGAGCTCATATGGTGAGCAGGAGGCTCAGAGCTGGAGCCACTGCATCCAGGCCAGCCACCTTGCTCTCAGATAGTAGTGGCCCTATAGAAAGGGTTGCTCCGCGGAGGAGGAGTAGAAAGCATGGAATGGGCACAGGTAGGCACTTCTTCCTGAAGCCTCAGCTCACGTATACCTGGGAATTTCACTCTCCCTAGGTCCCAGGGTAGTTGCCTCATTCCTGTCTGGGGAAGCAAGGAGCACTGAGAAAAACACATCCCGAGAGTGGCAAGACCTGCAGAAGCCTAAGTGCCTGTAACCCTGTTGGCAAAGAGCTCAGTAGCGCAGCATCACAAGGGCACCACCGCCCCCAACTCTTCAGAGAGAGCCCGTGCAGGGGTAGAGGTGAGGGCCTGGGATGTCAGTGGGATAATAGCCTCCAGTCCTGCACACTGTCCCGGACACTTAACTCCTTCCCTTCCAGGGGCTGTATAACTGAGGTAGCCTTCCCGAGCAGTACATGCCTGCTGAACTGGCAAAGCCTAAGGGACATGTTCTTTCCTCTCTCCCTTCTTTCCTTGGGGTCTGACCCCTGGCTATGCCCGTCACATGTTAAATAATCTACAACTTGGCTCCCCCTGGCCAGGAAGAGAGAAAAATTTCTTCTTGGAAGTCTACAGAAGGTGAGATTGAAGGTAGTGGTGGGGAGCAAATTATTCGTGAATAGATCCCCCCCCCCAAACCCCCCCTCCGTGGGCTCTAGGGTAGCTTTCAGTCAAGAAGTACTTTTCCAGCACTTCAGCCCAGCCACAACTTTTGTGGGTGGCATGCAGGAAGCCTTAAATACCTGTTTACTGTCTCCTCCCTAAGTCCCCGGGTCGCAGGAACCAGGAGAAACCCCTGGAACAGAGAATTATTATAACCCACACTTCCTTTGCCACGTCTCTTTGCCAAAGCACTTTTCCTAAACGTCTGATAGTGACAAATCAAACTGGTTGCTCCAATTCTGGGCTCAGAGTGGGAAGGCGGGTCACATGCTGTGGATGTCCCTTCTCTCCCTCTCTGGGGTTCTTTCGCCAGGAGTCAAGCGCAACTTAGCGCGGGTCGGTCCTCTCCCATGAGCAAGGGTTCAGAGAGGGTCATTCAACCTGAGAAACCGGCTCAAGGGGCAGCAGAGGCTCCAGTGAAGAGAGGAGACGGGGCGTCCCAGGGTCTGTGCTGGGGTCCCTTTAGGTTCTCAGGGCAGGCAGGCAGAGATGGCCTCAGGTCGCCAGAGCTCCCCCTTGTCTCATGCTAGCTGGGAATCCCCAAGAGCGGGAACAAATTGCTAGGGAATCCCTCGGTGCTCTGCCCAGGAGCTGCCTCTTGTGTCCCATCCCCACGCAGTTTACTCTCTCGGCTGCGGGCAGAAATATGGGCAGAGTAAGAAAGAAGGGGCCAGTGGGAAAGTGCCTTCCAGGCCACAGAGCCCGCCAGCCAGCCGCAGACACTACAAAGATCCGGCCGCGGAAACGCAACGCACCAGCTCGACCTGGCAGGCGGCGCGCTCCTCCTCCGCAAGGAGCCCCAGGCCTTGGGAGCTCTGGTCCCTAAACTTTCTGGGAGGGCTGAAGAGAGAGAAAGGAAACCGGCAAGCGTTTCCAGGCGCGGGGACCAGGACTGCAGGAGAGGTAGAGTCCCTGTTGACTGCAGCCTCCCTGCTCTCTGCTGTCACCTGAGAGCCTAACACGTTCTCCCCTGGCCCTTGCCAGACAACTGTCCAGTTCTGCGAGCAGGCATTACCTGTCTGAGTCTTGCAAACAGCCGGCGACGTCCAACAGGGCTCACGCATACAGTTCCATGTCTGGGGCGCTGGGCCGCAGTCCAGGACGAGATGGAGAGCCGGGTTCCAGAGAGGGCCGGCTCAAGCTGCCGGAGCGGCCAGAGAGGCTGCCCAAAGGCGAGCAGGGCTGGAGGAGGCGGGGGCGGGGGGGAAGACAGTGTCTTCCAGAGCAGCGGCCAGAGCAGCTCCGCCTGCCTGTTCTCTCTACTCTCTGTCCTAGCCAAAGAGGATGCTCAGAAACTTCTCCCCGCCCAGGGAAGATTTCTAGAGTTCAGCAGAGCTTCTACGGACTTTAGGGGGAGCAGGACAGGGAGAGCTTAAAGAAGGTTCCTAAATCACTCGGCCCCTTCGCTAGAATGACAGGTGCCACCTCTCAGCTCCGCGACCAGCCTCTCCTAAGTCGCCTGCCTCCTAGCCTCTTCCTTTTTCGCGACTTTACTTCGGAGCAGCTTTGCTCCAGCCGCACCTTGTTTTGGCCAAATGGTGCACCGCGGGACGCAAACGCCTCAGCCTGTGGCCCTCACGCCCCTCGTGAGGAACGCACGCCACAGAGGGCAACAGCCCTTCAGCCCAGAGGGCAGCGCAGGCGGCAGGTGCAAACTCTGCCTGCCCGCCTCTCTCCCGCTTGTTTGCAGCTCTAGCCTTTCCCGGGAACCCTCTCCAGCCAGTGCGCAATAAGCCTACACGTCTCTCCTAGCTCCGAAGAGGGAAGTGCGCTCCAGGCTCGCCTCACATCCTGCCACAGCTGCTGCGGCTTCCAAAATATGCCTACAGGAGCGGGGAGAAGGGTAGTGGAAATCACCTAGAGCTGTGTCTTGGTCGCTAACAGTTTGGTGCCTCCGGGCTGACTGATTGCACCGGGGAGGAGGTGGGGATGAGAGAACCGCTCTGGCGCGTCATGGAAAACGGTTACTGCTGCTCCTCCTCCTCTTCCACACCCCTTTGGATTTGGGAGCGCGAGGAGGGGAGGGAGAGTGGAAAAGGCTGCCAACCCCGAGTCCCCCATCTCCTGGTTTAAAAAAAAAAGAAAAAGAAAGAGCACTGTCTCTTACCTTTCCCGGGAGAAGGAAAGCGCGTCCCGGCAGCGCCGTCTAGCGTCCGTACCAGTGTAGGCCGGCATACAGGGTTGGGCGAGCGCAGAGCCGAGTGCAAACGTGGAAAGCCACTAAACAAAGTTTTTCAGCTAACCTGGTCCCCTGTTCCACTCATTGAACAGGTATCTAGTTCAGCCAGGAGGTCACCTGCTTGGTTCCCCCCAGGCCAGAATTTAATATTATTAAAGGCCACCTAATTGTATTCATAATGCAAGCTTCCTAGTACCAGAGAGAACTCTTTTCCAAACCCTTCCCATATTAAAGATCCTTAAGTCTCAGGGTTCTCCAGCCTGTCAATCACACAGTGGGCAAGGAGGGTCCTGGAACCCCAGGATGTGCTCGGCGATAGAACCCCCAGACTATGACTGTTCATTCCGGTGTCTGAGACTTGCCAGCGATGATCCTGACCACCCGCTCACCAAGGTCATGCATCCCAGGAGCTCCTCTCTTTAAGACTGATAGTGGAGAGGAACTATGACTCAGGAACTGACAGGGTCTGGATTGCAGCGAATGAAGAGTACCGTTTCCACGCCAGGTATCTCCCAGAGAGTCCCGCTCAGCTCACGGGCGCCTTGCTGATTAACACACTTAACAGGATTGTTCATTTAACGGATCAGATGAGCGCTGTGCTCCAACATTTGCTGCTGTGCTGGGCTCCTATTAATTTGTCTTTCTCTGAGCTTTCTCCAGCTGTTCTCCCTAGGCTGCTCCATCGCTCTGCATTAGCTACAGAGAGAGAACGAGTGAGGGAGAGATGGAGAGAGGGACCGAGAAAGAGTCACTGAGCGCTCTGTGCGTGGCGCACAGCGCGCACCCGCGCCTTCTCAGTCAGCCTCCTTGGCCGCTTGACCTCCGTCCAACATCCACTCAACTTTTAGGGCCCAAGCCTGTGCACAATTAAAGTTACTATTCTTCTCTCACCTCTCATGCCAAGTTTAAGCATTCTGAGGACCATCTCACCTATCAAATCCCTCGAAACCCCACGCGGGAAAATTCCTTCTGCAATTAAGGTTAAGTCGGGGAATCAAGAGAGGTCGGACGCTGAAGGAAAAGTCCTTTTGGCAGGAACCAAGGCCAGTTACCCTCCCAGGTGTTTACGTGCGCCGCAGGGGGCAGGGAGGAGGCGGGGCTGTATTTTTGAAACAGAGAAAATGGCCTGCAGTTTCTGCTTCTGTTTTGTAACTGCTCTTTTGTTTTTGTTTTTCAGATATACGCCCATTCTTCCCAAGGGACCTAGACAGCCATTCCTCACTGCCTCTTTGGTACAGAGCTCAAGTAAATTTCTCTCTGCCCGCGTGCTTGCTCTGCTCAGCCCTCATCACCACTTCCAGCCAACCAGCCCCACTTACATCAATGTTACTCTCAATGCCATGTGTTTTCAACCAGCCAGGAACGGCAGAGTGGAAGAACACCACCTCCCTACATTTCACCTTCCTAGTTGGGTACCTGGTGCCTCCAGTCTAGCCCTATAGCATAGCACCAAGACCTCAGGCCCTGGGCCCCAGCAGAACAGCTGGGCTGAGAGAGGCCAAGCCACTAGGCCCCTCACTTACATTAGAGCGTTTAGGTGCCAGCAGTCAGTGTGAAGGGAGCTCACTGAGGATAGCAGCCAATAATATCCCTAAGCAAATTGTCAGGTAGACAACACATTAAAATCAAAACGTAAAACAAAAAGCCCTCTTTCTGTCCTGCTGATTCCTCCTTTCATCATTTTTCTACACCAAATTTGACCCAACTTCACTCTAACACCCAGTGCCTTTATATATCCAAGCTTTCTATATATCCAAGTTAGCACCTCTCACCCTACCAAATGTTACTCTCCTGTGTACCTACCATTCTTTAACTACTCTCTCTGCTGATGACAATGGTTGATATTCCAGTCTGATTAATGCCTAACTAGTCTGGAAAAGCTTACTCTCCTGAGTAACATCACTTTTCACCAGAGACTTTAAGAAGACTTTCCAGAATTGGAAATTTAAGGCATCATGGCAGATAAGTGGATTTTCTCTGGATGGGGAACGGGCTCTTGGTACCCATCGAAGAGAGCTGCTTGTTTGGCCAATCCTACTGGTCTGGTTTATGGTTAAATGAAGCAATCTCAAAGGAGCTGAGGAGTGTGACAATTAAGAGTCCAAAAAGGAAGAAGATGCCAAGAAAATGGGGAAGGAACCCATGACCTCTCAGAAACAATTTAGTGAGACTTTATGGTCTGGCGCCTTGCTCCTCCAAGTGTTATCCATGGACCAGCAGCATTGGAGCATCAGCTGGGAGCTTCTTAGAAATGCAGAATCTTGGGCCACACTCCCAGAACTGCCAAATCAGAATCTTCACTTTAACAAGATCCTCGGGTGATTTCATATACATATTAACAATGGAGAAGCATTTTCAAGAAAACCTTTCAATTCTGCCAAGCAAAGGAAAGGAAAAAGGGCAGTGAGTGAAATCACCCAAGGAGCTAATAATGAGATCTGGCATCACCATTGTCATATGATAAGCACCAAAGAACAAGGCCAGAGTCATATCTTTTTAGGACTATTAGGCCCAATCTATTTCATGACTATGGCCTATACATCAAATTATGGTTAGTATCCCTATGTATAGATGCTCTTTTTGCAAAACTGCCCTTGGTTACAGAAAGAAATAGGCGAGAGTGTGGGCATGACTTAATACAATTCAATCACTACTGCTGAAGAGACAAATCAATTCCCACGTTCCGCTAGAGTAGGGTCAGTATCATCATCTTCCTAATAATATTATGAACAGGACTTTACCGAGTTTGGCAAATTATGGGCACTAAATATGTGCTCACTGATCAATGGAGAGAAGAGCTGATAACCATTTAGTGAAGCCAAAAGTGTTTAAGAGGTTAATAATCGGGATAAATAGCTTTGCAAAAAATAACCAAAAAATATGCTGTACTTTATTCTCTCTGCCCAAAGCAAATTTCAAGGTTGCCTGGTAGGATAGTAAGGTGTTCCTAGACCTGGCTAATGGCCAAAATTATGGGTTTAGCATCTTGTTAAAGATTCCTGGGACCACGCCATGCCCCAGATCTATTAAATCAGAATCTCGAAGAGTGGATCTCCCCAGGTGAGGAGCACCTTTCTAAGCAAAACTTAAACCCCTTGAACCATAAGGAAAGAAATTGATGAATTTTACTACACCATAAGCAAAGTCAAAAGACAAACTATAAACTGGGAGAAAAATTGCAGCAAAGCGAAGGGGGAATTTTATTAGCATATAAAGGGCTCTTTCAAATCAATTAGAAAAAAATCAACCCAATAGAAAAATAGGCAAAGGACTTGAATAGATATTATGTAGTTAAAAAATGTAAATGGACATATGTAAATGTAGAAATAACTGCAAACTAAACCATAATGTCAAAGAATAAATGTTCCATAGTACAGAGTCTTAAGCAAGCATGTTAAGAAACAGACCCTCAATCACAGTTAGCTGGAGTGTAAACTAGGATGAGCACTTTGGAGAAGAATATGGCAATGTCTGTCAAACTACTGACATGGACCAATTCACTAGATATACACTCATATATAAAAACATATTTCTGAGTGAATACTCAAGAAATTGGCAATAATAGTTGTATTTTGGAAGAGGGGGTGATTGGCAAAGTGAGGTGAAAGACAAATTTATGTTTTGTATTATGTAGTACACTGGAATTTGTCACACCCTCACTGTTAAAGAATTGTCTATTTAAACCCTTTGCCTTGTGACTTTGAGTAGCTCCCACTAGAATAAGAGGAGCATATTTTCCCACTCCACTGGGGTTGGCCGTGTGACTTGCTTTGACCAAAGGTATATTAGCAGACTTGGTGCTAATGGCTTGGCCTCTCATGCTTCTTCCACCCACCAGTAGTCCTGGGCAGCTCCTGGTCCAAGGAAAATGATGAGATACAGGGAGCAAACTTGAAACCAGCCCACAGCATGAGGTCAAGCCCAGGCAAGCCCAAATGAGATCAGTTGAACCCAAGTGGATTTACAAACCTTATAAACATTTATGTTTCTTGTCGTATGACACTGATACCTTGTGGGTTTTTGGTCACGATGCATTATTGTAGCAATAACTAACTAATGCAATTCCATTTATACTTAGAAATATTCACTATGTACATCTATTATTTTCCACCCAACAAGTATTTGTTTTGATCATGAACACCCTAATTATCTATCATTAGGACACAGATTGAATAAACTATGGAACATACATATATACTTTCTCCTTCAGATTTATATTAACTTAATCTTAGTGACAAATAGAAATGTTACTCTTATATAGCTGTGTTCCCTCTTTTCCATTCTTGTATCATTATTATTATACATATTACATCTATATGTTATAAGCCCAAAACTGCATTGTAATAATTATTACATTATATAATTTTATGTCTTAAAAGAAGCAGAGAGAAGAAAAGAAAGCAAATATATATTTAAATAGTTTATATTATTATTTACCATTTCTGGTTCTCTTCATTTTTCCCTTTGGATTTGAATTACCATCTGGTGCCATTTTCTTACAGTAATATAACATTGCTCCTCATTTACACTGTTATTGTCAAATATATTACATTTTTATATAAGCCCAGTAGCACAATTATATATACATATATATTATTTACAATTATATTTATATATTATTATATGCATATATAATTGTATATAATATAATATTATATATATGTACACATATTGTTTTATACAATTGTTTTTTAAATCAGTGAAGAGAATAAAGGAAAACAAATATTTATTTATATTGTCTTTTATAATTATATAATTACCGTTTGGTGCTGTTTGTTTTTCCATGTGGACTGAAATTGCTTTGTGGGGTCTCTTGCTTTCATACTGAAGAACCTCAATTAGTATTTCTTATG